ACCTTATTGTAGCATCCATTATGAGCCATGCACTGTACGGGGACTGGTCTAAGGCTCAGCTTCTTTCTGCCTTCAGAGTGTTCCCAGTCCTACTGGGAAGGTGCAAATATAAACAATATAAGCAATGCCTATACTAGACAATATATTATAATATATAAAAATATATTTAACAAATACAGTGTGACACGTCAGTGATAGGAAAAGAGAGGAAGAGAGAGGTGGACCCAGCTTGGGGAGGGAGGGATGCAGACATTTGGAGGAAGTGTTGACTGTCAGATGGGCACGAAGGGGGTGGTACGAGCCAAGCTTGTTCAGGTCTTCTACAGGATCTGCCCCGTGGAAACGAGTAGGGGGCAGGTGAGGATGGGCGGGCAACAGAGAGTGTGAAGATTCATGGGGGAGCTGGTGTTTGGAGGGGATCTAGAGCAGGGAGTGTGTAGGGAGAGAGGCCCAGGTGAGGGGAGTCAGCGTCTCTGCCCTCTCCTGGGACACATGGTGGTGGAGTGGGACGTGGGTTGAACTGTGCTGTCTTCCTGAGCTTGAGCCCAGCCCTGCCCCTGCTAGCTGGGTGTCCTTGAACTATCCCGGTGGGGATTTTCCAGGCACTGAGAGAGAAGTAGAAGAAAGAACTCTTGCTGTGTGGGAGTGAGGGTGAGAGATGTGATTATAACTGAAACCATGGGCTCGGTGGAAAGTCCGGCCTATACTACCGAGCCAGCGGAATGAGAAGCTGCTTGATTCTTAGACAGGTGGGCAGCCCCATCATAAGAGTCAGCCATGATTGTTTGCCAAATCTGCCTCTCGTCCAGGCACTTCTGTTCTGATCCGCACAAACATCTTCTACAGGACTTCAGCTAGCTTCCCCAGGTCCCTCCATCCTCCACCGTGAGCTGTTACCCACACTCTAGAAAGGTCTCATTACCTTCCTTACAGAGTCAGAGATCTAGGAAAAGTCCAAGTGTTAGAGCTACCATTTGACAGTCCTTAAGAACCAGAGACATGCGGAACTAAGAGGTGGTGGGTACTTCGAAACTGGGGTTCATTAGAAGTCTGTCCTCCCATGGTAAGCTTGGAAACAGGCAGGTGTGACCCACATGGCCTTGTCTGAGAGCCTCCAGGGTGAGCCAGGAAATGTCCATCCTAATTAGAGACTGGGAGGGTCTGGCTGTCCTTTTGTGGGTTGGGAAGCCCAGTAGCCCAAGCCAAGACTCTGAGGTGACTCCATTCACCTCAGAAGACAAAGGAGCTTGAATCTATTCCAGTCCCACATCCTTGGGGAGGGCTGGCATCCCTTCCTGCCACAGCTGTGGAAGCAGCTAGAACATGGCACCAAGTTCAGGTTTTAAGTGAGGATGTGCCAATATGAGGAATGCTTCGTTGCGTTTTCACACTTGCAAGAATCTATGGATAAAACAGATAAAACATAAAACCACGAAACGCCTGTTTTCTGGTGGGCTGTCTTCTTGTTTACTTGATCTGGTCTAGGAGTGGGAGGAACTTCCTCCAGAAACTGCTGGTTTCCTGAAACCTGGAGCAAGCCTGGGCTTTTGATGTATTTTTAGCTTCTAATTTCATTTATTTATTTATGATTAACTTGCTAAAACGGACCTTCGAACTAGGATGGGGGGCGGTGAAGCCACTTTTCTGAAGGTGAGGCAAAGATTGTGCCATCTGAAGTTAGCAAAGACTAAAATACATCACGGGTAAGTGTCACCCCTACCCGGATGAGCAGCATCCGCACAGCCTTTTGAAGACACACGCACACACACACCTGTGCTCATGAGTGCAAAGTGAGCCCCTTTCTGCCCTCCAGGAAGGGCAAATGGTTAGGAGCAAGGAGCTGAGATGGCAGTGCTGCAGGGACCCGGGCAGGTGGTTCTGAGTGTGGAACTCCTGGGCAAAGGCTCAGCTCAGTTTCTGGGAAGCAAGACAGATTCAAGCATTAAGCTTTTCTCATGAGGAAAGGGAACCTAAGCCTGAATGCTTCCAAGATGGGTCGAGGGGAAAAGGTAGCCTTTGGACAGTGCTGTCCTGGATGTTTGACTTGTGAGAAAGCCAGGGACGAAGACCAATGCCTCTGTGGTGGATTGCGGCATTGTAGATGCACACACATAGAAATCTGACTGGTCTGTCCTTTAACTGCGGAGGTAGAAGGCTTGGTGGGAGGCTCAGCTGTTGCTCTAACTATGACCCACGCTGACCTTGCTCAGTTTTCCCCAGACTTGAAAGGTCAGTTTGAGAACATCACATTTAGTGAGCACTTTCTGATACCACACTTAACTTTTAGCTTTTTATTCCTCCCCCAAGAGGTGCAACTCAGAGAACATGGGCATAATTTTTCTAAAGTAAGTTCCTTGAATCTGTAGGAGGTTTTTTTTTTTCCATCAGAAACAAGTGCTTGTTTACTGTATTTGTAAAGCTCTCTAGTTACTGGGGACAGTGAAGACTGCTACCTTCTAATCTTTTTGTTATTATCTAGCTCAAGAAAATGTATTGCTTAAATCTCTTGCTTCCTGTGTCCCTGACCAGAGGGAGCATAAACCAGTCTATCCTCAATACTCCAGAAACATGTAACTTAAGACTGGAAATATGACCTTGGCATAGACAGAGGCATAGAAAATGCTAAAAGAGCTAGTATTGGTGGCAGGGTAGCACCATGGGCCCGGGACACAGGAAAGCAATGATGTAAATCTCATGACAGACACATGCTTCATGTGACATGCAGCATCTCACCTCCCAACAACTTACTCAAGTGTCTGGGGAGGACGTGACTATGACCCTCCTTCTGACCCTTGGCTTACTAGTTGGAATCAGCTGGCTGGTTTGGGGGAAGAGAAGCTAGGGTGATGAAGGTGCCTGGTGTTGAGTGGCATGTTCTATGTCTGCCAAGGTGGAGAAGAAAGCATTTGAAGACCTTCACCCGCTAATAGTTTGGAAGTAGTCCAGGAGATTTTACACGCGGAGATATTTTAGGTGTTGGACACAGAGAAAAATAAGTCCCTCCCTGGAGACAGCACAGGGCACGTCGCAGCCTGAGTGCCTTGGAGGAGCTGGTGCTTTCCGGAGATGGAGTGGAGGAAGAATTAGAATCGATTGTATGTCTGTGCAGCCTGCTCGCTGAGTGCTGAGAAAAGAGGGCTCAGTTCAGGGTGGGGGTCCTCTGTTGGGAATGAGTTTGTACCCAACTCTGCATCCTCGGGCATCACCCTTGGTGTCCTTTGTTTCTGTTTTCTTATTTGTGAAATCAGTGACTTGGGTAAGACATTCGCTAGATCCACTGTAATGTTCCAGGTCTATGCACCGTGCATGGTACCAGACCGAGAAAAAAACATCTAACAAATGAACCAACCAATCAGTCCAACACTATGCTTCTCCAGCTGCTGAAACCGCGATGCAAAGCCAGCACTCCTTGCTTTTCCTGATCTATGCCACCTTTGTGAATGTGGAAGAGGATTGTCTACAAATTTTGTCAGTGGAGAAAAGAAGAGAAAGCTACGCAAGTTATGGGGTAAGAGGCAGAGGAGGGGCCCTATTCCTGTAGTCTTCTCAGGAGAGAGTGGCGCCCCCTGCCATCTCTTCACCCGCACCCAGTACCTCCCTCCCTCCCGGGGACTCTGGCCAGTTGTGCCTGTCATTAGCTTTGACTTCCTTCAGGTTGGCTCAGTGCTCAGTAACCTCTATATTAGAAATACATTTTTTATGATTATCACCAACACACACCACTTCAGAGCAATAGGAATATATAGAAATGCATCAAGAAACAGGAAAACAACCTCAGCTGTATCCCACTACCCAGAGCAATTGGCATTTAAGCACATTTTTTTCCTAGACTATTCAGTTTCTTCTTCTTAACGTGGAAGTGCATTTTGTAGCTTGCTCTTTTCTTGGGTCAACATCACCGCATGCTTCCACATCCCTCACCACACCCAGCCTCACTTCATTCCTCCCGCCCCCCTGTGCTAGCCTTCTTCTCTTGGAGTCTCGGACCATGTCTGAATTTCAACCTGTGCTCCCTTACCCAAAGTACACCTGGTCTTCCATTTGCTTTTGTGAATAAAGTTTTATTAGAACATAGCCATGTCCATCCTTGTTTGTATATCTATTGCCTAGAGCTGGCTGTGTGCTGCTGTAGAATATCAAGACGGACCTCAGGTCCTACAAAAGGAAAAGTATTTACTCTCCGGCTCTTTGATGACCCTTGCTCTATTAGTCAACCGATAATAAATGAAACATAGCTTTGTGGTGTTTCAATTTCCGTGTAATAGATACCACTGTTGTCCTGGGTGTGGTGGTACATGCACATAATCTCAGTGCTTGGAAACGCTACGGAAGGACATTTACGTTCACAGCCAGTCTAGGAAACAGTAAGATCTCTCAAAAAACAAACAACAGCAACCAAAATCCCATTGCAATTGCTATTAAATTAACAGTGTGATGATATTGGGCATAATACTTTTTATTTGAGGGGGCGGGGTCTTACTATGCAATCCAGACTGGCTGTGAACCTTCAGCCCTTGGGCCCTCAGCTTCTGCAAGTGATGGAATTGCAAGCGTGTGCCACCACACCTGACCTGAGAAGAGATGGGTTGCAGCACACCATAATAGAATGCTTCTTCCAGACACCATAAGTGAAAACTTAAAAGGACCAAGGTAATAGCAAAATGCAGTACAATGAGGAGAAATGCAAAAATTTGGAGTGTTTATTACAATGTCTTTCAACAAAGCTTAGCTCATTTTAAGCTTTACAACTTGCTGTGTTTAAATCAGTCTGTGAAGTTCTTGTAATTTTAGCCCCCAACTGTGTGACGGAGGTAGGCTGCCAACATGGATGGAGAAAGAAGTGTATAGGGATAATCCTAGCCCTCCGGGTGGGCCAGCTTGCTGCACACAGCCTGGGGGAACTTCTGCTCAGAATGAGGACAGGAGCCCTTGGGCTCTGCTGTGGTCTCAAACGGGAAGAAGGAAGGCCCCAAGAGGCAGAGGCCCTATTCCCCAGCAAAGGGCTGGAGAGTCACACACTGCAGAGGAAGATAACTGTGACCCTCCACCCACCACACAGGGAACTGAGTCATTCTTGAGGAACTTCCAGGAAGCACAGATGGAGCCCTGACCTCAGCTGACCTGGGCAGGGCTCACCACAGAATGGGAGTATGAGGTCTGGCCTGCCAACTGTTCACCCAGAAAGCCGGGCTCTCTGCTCTAGAAGTGCCAACGTACAGGCCCACTCTGCCGCTCCTTAGAATGGGCCTGGCCAGTGGAAGCCACTTAGGGTCCCTGGGGCCATCTGACTTCAGGGAAGGCAGCACTCAGGGTCCATATGGTGTCTCTGAAGATGACGGGCTAGAGTCAGTAAGGGAATCACACGCCCTAAGCCCTCCCTTTCTAGCTACTCAGTGGGCTCAGCAGCAGGCATTTTTGTGGCTGGTGGCTACAGGCACGTGCCCAGCTGGGAGACAAATGTGACTGCGGCATCTGCCTTCGGCAGCAGGGAGAAGACAGGTGCTCAGGCCCACGAGGCTGGGTTCCCATCCTCGTGTCACTTCTGGTCCGTGTGACTTTGGCCTTGTCCTTAGCCTCCCCAAATCTGTCTCCGCATGCGATCATCATGAGGGTGATGAAGTTGATGACTCCACCTGTGGCCACATGTTACCGATACCGAGTGTGAACGTGCTCCAGTGGTGTGATTGGTGAGTGTGAGATACTTACACAGACACCAAGCGTGAGAGGGCAGGCAACACGCTGCACCATGGTCTCCGCCAGCAACACTAGGTGCTAAGAAATGCATGTTCTCTGCAAAGAGCTGCCAGTAATTACAGCCAGACCCTCCCAACCCCAGGGCTCCTAAAGAGGCAGCCTTGTTAGTGTCAATACCTTGTCCCAGTTCACAGAGACTGAAAAGTGGGAGGAGAGGGAATAGGAGCTACTGGGGTAACAATTTCCATCTCTTCTTCCTGTGGTGGCTTTACTCTTGAGAGCAAGGTCAAGACACGATCAGGGTGAGCTTCGTGGGGGAGGCAGAAATTGGCCTATGGGCTTAAGCTGGGTGTTTACAGTTTTCTAAAGATAGACTTTATTTTTATCCTGATTATGTGTGTGCTGAGTGCCAGTGTGGGTCTATACATGTGGGTGCAGGTGCCTGTGGAAGACAGAGGTGTTAGGTCCCCTGGAGCTGGAGTTACAGGCAGCTGTGAGCCGTCCAGTGTGGGTGATGGGAGCCAAACTTAGATCCTCTACAAGAAGTATCTTAAGCCCTTGACCTACTTGGTAGTGGGGTTTTGGGAGTTTGCGTGACCCTGGGGTATGTGGCTACTTTACCCATTTGAACACGGAAGCTGAACCAAGAAAGAAAAGAATTGTGGTGTGTGTGTGTGTGTGTGTTTGTGTGTGTAGTGTGTTTGTGTGTGTAGTGTGGTGTTTGTGTATGAGTGCATATATATGTCTGTATGTACGTGTGGTATATATGAGTATATGTGTGTCTCTGTGTATGTTGTGTGGTGTGTGTGTATAGTATGCTATGAGCGTGTGAGTGTGTGTGTCTGTGTGTGTTGTGATATGTGTGTGTTGTGGGGTTTGTGTGTCTATGTGTGTGGTATGGCATGTGTTTTATATATGTGTGAGTGTATGTATATATCTGTGTGTGTGGTGTGTGTGTATGTGTGGTTTAGTGTGTGTATCTGTATGTGGTATCTGTGAGTATGTGTGTGTCTGCATGTGTTGTGGTATATATGTGGTATGGTATGTGTGTGTGAGTGTGTGTGCATGCATGTGTGTGCCTGTTTCAGTCCATTCTTATGCAGTTTTTTATTTATTTATTTATTATGTATACAGTATTCTGTCTACATGCATGCCTAAAGAGGGCACCAGGCCTCATTACAGATGGTTGTGAGCCACCATGTGGTTGCTGGGAATTGAACTCAGGACCTCTGGAAGAACAGGCAAAGCTCTTAACCACTGAGCCATCTCTCCAGCCCCTCTTATGCAGTTTTAACAAAACCCCGGAGAGTGATTAAAAACTATGACCAACAGTAGTTTATGCAGCTCATGGTTCTGGAGTCAGGGTAGCCAAACCCTAGACAGCATCTGTAAGACTTAATTCACAGATAATGTAGGATCACAATCTATTCCTCATGAGGAAGCTCTCATGACTGGTCAGGGTTCCACATTCCTATTGTCTCTGTAGCAGGTATATTTCAGTGTGAGTGCTGAAGGCGGCATTCAGACCATAGCAGGGTCCCCCGCAATAGCTTGCTTTGACTCTAAGAGGATGGGGAAGAAGACGAAATCCAGGCCGTATCTGAGGCTTTGTAAATGGGGACAGTGTGGCCCGCAGGAGGGGACAAGGGAGTGTCCTCTTTGGAATCAGATGAGACATCAGGAAACCACATACATCATATTCACAGCATTGTCATGTGACCTAAGGCCACTGCAGCAGATGGGACCAGAATTAACTAGAGCGAGGTTCACACGTAATGAGGATGCCCACATCTTGTCTGTACCCACACTTCTCTGATGGGTTAGGCACCGGCAAGGGCAGGTGAGAGTCCCGGAACCAGAGCCTCCATTGGCTCTCCCTCCTCACTGCACAGTGCCCCCCATGCGAGTCAGAGCAGACAGGCGGTGCGCTCACCTCTTCAGATCCTGGTCCTGTTATGAAGCAGGGCCTAAGACGTTTCACTAGATGTGAGAGAAAAGTTTGAGAAGAACACTAAGATTCCGTTGCCTTACTCTGCCTTCTAAGTCCTGGGGTCACAGGCGGAGCATCACACCTGGTTCATATGGTGCTGGGGACCAAACCCAGGGGTATTCTACAGTCTGGATGACACTCCAACACTTAAGGGTTGACAGTCTTTTCCCCGAGTGCCAGATTGCTCGCAGCCTCAGCTCTCTCATCTGGCCCTAAGATCATTACACAGGATCCAGGACCAGCACCAGGAGCATTATAACGTTTATCAGTAGTGTCTAGGACCTTGCTGAAAACATGACACTTCTGACTCTCCACAAGACCCACCGACTCAGTAGCTCTGAGTATACTACTGCATCTTGTCTGTACCCACACTTCTCTGATGGGTTAGGCCCCGGCAAGGGCAGGTGAGAGTCCTGCATACTTGTATTTCAGGAGTTCAGACACACACTTGTTTGGGACCCAGTGACCGACCCTCTAGGAAGCTCCTTGGGAGGCTCAGCCTGAGCCAGGACCATAGACTTGTGACTTAGGTCCAGGAGCCAGGGACAATGTTGCTTGCTAAGGTGTGTATTGTGGTTTGAGTGAGAAACGTCCCAGAGGCTCAAGTGTCTGAACACTTGATCCCCAGTTGGTGATAGAGTTTGGAAGGCTGTGGAGCCTTTAGGAAGTAGAGCCTTCCTGGAGGAAGTGGGTCACTAGGGTAGCCTTAAATGCTTTATATAGCCCAGCCCCAGTTCCTGTCTCCTGTCGGTTTCCTGGCAGTGGCTACAAAGTGAGCAGCTGTCTCACACCCGTTACCACGCACTCCCCATTGTGATGGAGTGTCCCTTCTAAAAAGCCTTCCTTTAAGCTGCTTCTTGCAAGGTTTTGGTAAACAAGAGAAAAGTCAGAGAGTGTGGAAGGGTCCCTACACGTTGTCACACTGGTCACTGAGGGTTCCTACACACTGTCCCACTGGTCACTAAGGAGGAACTGGCCCCTGACACTGTTCCAAAGCCTCAATATCGGAAGGCCCGAGCGAGAAGGAGGAGGGCAGGCTGGGGCTCATATCAACAGCAAAAGCAGAACAAAAGGATAAAAACATCTCCAGGGAAGGAACATTCAGACCCCTCCCCGCCGGAAAGTCGCATTTATCTTTCAAAGTAAATAGCGATCAGTCTCAAGGAACAAGGGGACTTTCAAATAATGGCCAGCATGTGTTGATATTGACAGTGGCCCATAAATCTCAATTTTGCTAGGAGAGAATGTTGGATGGCATTTTAATTCCAAGCCACAGAATGAGGAAGGGAGAGATTTACCTCTGCTGTGGGTCTTAGTGGAGCATGCTTAGACCTACAGACCAATGAGCGCGGAGTTAAGCGCTAATTGATGGCCTCCACCGTGCTTCATAACACCCCATTATCCCGATGAGGGGCAGGACAGCTGAAACAGCTGAGCCGGGGGGGGGGGGGCACTCAGAGATGGGCTTCTGAGCAGCCATCTAGGAAAGACTAAGGGCCCTGGGGAGCCTCCCCAGTTTGGCTAATTGTCCCTTCTCCCCAGGTCCCTGCCCCTGCTAGCTTGCCCACTGCCCCGCATGCTCACTGAGTGCTTTCAAGCGACCTTGCTCTCTGGGGCGCTCTCTGCTTC